TGTCTCATCCTCACCAAGTTTGGTATGACACCTCCCTCATGCATTCCCATTGGATGTCATTCATGAGGCCCCTATCTGTAGGGACACAGTTTCATGACGTTTTCATGATCTGATGTACTGCGCCCTCACACATACCAGTTAAACCAATTATACTAGTTCTTACCCACTACGCAAGCGATGCCAAGCTATGCTCTTGGACACGCCTGCAACTATTCTGCGCACACCAAACCCAACATACTATTTTCGGACGGCCTCCATGTATGCGGCATAGGAGCATTGCACAATAATGCAGGTCCTTCCTCTCGTAACCCATCTCCGCAAGCACGAGGATACTGGACGAGCCATCGTTCTCTTCAACGAGTGGTACAGGGCCTTTTTCATGTCGACTTCCACACCGATCGCCCGCTCGAACAAGCTAAGGCTGTGACAGAAAGGTGAGGTTGACGTTGTAAAGAAACTGAACGAGAATGAATGAACTAAGATCAAAGTGGGTACAAGTACTAACCCTAAATGGGTTGTAGCCCTTATGGGCTACCCCACTATAGCCTACACAATATAAGCATCATAACATATTGACACACCCCCATAGGCAAAGTGGGGGAGAACAGGAGGTCACAAGACCAGTCAAGAAAAAGCAAAGCAAACTCACGGTGGATCACAAAGGCACCACACATTCTGAGCACAAGCAAATAGAAACAAGGTTAGTTCACATGCTGAGTTACATTAAGGAGAACAAACAATGCAATGATCAGAACATAGCAAGTGTAGGCATGCAGGTATAAGTCTAGTCACGAAGTCAGCAAGGCAAATTAAGCACAAGGCCTAAAACAGTACAGAAACGCTGATGATCACTGGGTTGAAGTGCCTTGGTGAATATATCAGCAGTGTTGGCCCGAGTGGCCACGTGAGCAAGACGAAGCTGACCACGCTGCTGCAATTCTCGAGCAAGGAAGTAACGCAGAGCAATGTGTTTCGTCATGTGATCCAGTCCGTGCTCCTGACACGAGGCAATCATGGTGTTGTTGTCTACGTATAGAACGGGAGGAGAACGAGGCAGCTCTCCCAAGTTGGTCAGCATGTAGGTGAGCCAGCGTAACACCTGTGCATCCACGGCCCCTACGTAGATCTCAGCCTCACAACTGGAACTGAGAACAGAAGACGAGAGGGTAGACCGCCATGAAATAGAGCCGGAGCCAAGGCTGAAAGTGTAACCCTGTAACGAGCGCTGCGTAGCCAAGTCGTCAACCCAAGACACGTCTACGTGTCCAGTGAGGACAACCGGACCCCATCCTCCAAACACGAGCCCCATGCCCGACATACTGCACAAGTAGTGCGTGCAACACCCGCTTAGCGGCCTCACACTGCTCTGGTCCGTGTCTCCTGGGCGCAACGTGGACGCTGAGAGGGTAGGCAAGGTCAGGTCAGGTCATCAGGTACATGAGGCAGCCCACAAGCTCTAGATACAGGCCATTTGGCTCTAAAGACTCGTCTGAAGGCAGAGCTGAGAGCGAGTGACCGGTAGGCAGAGGAGTGGACTGTGGCGAGGAGTACCGGAAGCCGAAGCGCTGAAGAACCTGGTGCACCATGTGTGACTAAGTCCGGGTGATGGTGCGCTGTGATCTATCCCGGATGATATGCAAGCCAAGATGCTACGTAGCTCATTCAGGCCAGTGCACGTGTGTCTCTTCTGCAGCTCCGACTTCACAAGGACCAGTGCCTCAGTGTCAGCAGTAGCAAAAACCAAGTTGTTGACGTACACGCGGATGTAGAGCGGCGGTAGCAAAGTGTTGGTGTGCAGAAACAGCGACAGGTCAGCAGTCGAAGGTGCAAACCCAAGAGCCGCAAGCGTCGTCCTCAGTGTGTCGTGCCACTCGCGAGGCATCTGGCGGAGACCGTAGACTGGCCGCCGGAGGCTCCACTGGGTACCTGCAGAAAACGATCTAGTGAAGCCAGGTGGGTGGCGCAGCCAGATCTCCTCGTGCAGGGTGCCCTGTAAGAAAGTTGTGTTGAAGTCAAGAGAGTGAAGCTTGTAGTCACGTTGAGCAGCGATGTGCAGCAGCACCCGAACAGGTCATCTTCGGGGTAGGGTAGAAGGTCTGGAAGAAGTCAACTTCCTGTTGCTTACTAAAGCCTTCTACAACATAACGAGTCTTTAAGACAGGCGGAGAACCCGGCGGCCGCTTCACCCTAAAAATCCACATGCCATTGATGATTTTCTCACCAGGAGGGGGAACCTAATCGACGTAAGTGCGTGTGGACTTCCAGGATGCCATCTCTGCGTCCATGGCTGTCTGCCACTAAGAGGAGTAGGGACCCGCGATCGCCTCAGCATAAGAACGCGGAGTTGGGATGTCTGGTGCATCTGGGTCTCCCTCAGGTAGAAGCAGCATGGCTAAGAGATGAGGTACAGCAGCTGCAAGTCCTCCTCCTTGTTGTCAAGGACGTCCGTGCCAATAGCACACTCACCCCCGACGGACGGAGGACAGTCGGACTCAGACTCAGCAATAAGATTAGCGGCGTAGTCTAGACGACACGCAGCGGCAAAATCAACAAGCTCAGCAACTAGGGCAGACACAACAGTGGACTCAAAAGAAGGGTGAGTGACAATAGTGGCTAGAAGACGTGTGGAACGAAAAACGGTCGCCACTACACAGTGCCTTCAGCACCAGTACCGCCAGCTCCAGCACCCCCAGGGCCAGCACCTCCAGCTCTAGTGTCTCCAGTTCCAGCGCCTCCAGCTCTAGTGCCTTCGGCTCCAGCTCCTCCAACTCCAGCGCCTCCAGCTCCAAGGTCTCCAGCTCCAGTGCCTCTAGCTCCAGCGCCTCCAGCTCTAGCGCCTCCAGCTCCAGGGTCTCCAGCTCTAGTGCCTCCAGCTCCAACACCCGCAGCACCACCAGCTCCAGCAGCTCTTGTACCTCTAGTACAAGCACCTCCGGGACCAGCAGTGCCAGCACCTCCAGCACCTCTAAGACCAGCAGCACCACCAGCTCCGGCAGCTCCAGTACCTCCAGTACGGGCATCTCCAGGACCAGCAGCTCCAGCACCTCTGGTACCTCCAGCTCCAGCGCCTCCAGCACCAGCAGTACCTCCAGCACCTCCAAGACTAGCAGCTCCAGCGCCTCCAGCTCCAGTGCCTCCTGCGGCAGTGCCTCTAGCAACAGGGCCCGCAGCTCCAGCAGCGCCACTCCAAAGGTAGATGCGCCAAGAAAACCACTCACGCAGCTGCTGTGGTGAGAGAGGCTCCTGCCGGTGAGACCGCCATGGCGGGGCACCCATAGGACCTCCAGCATAAATAGTACCTCTAGGCTCAGCACCCCCATACTCAGTACCCTCCCGCTCAGCACCCCCACGCTCCGCACCCTCAGTCTCAGAACCCCCAGGCTCTGCACCCTCAAAATCAGCACTCCCAGGCTCCGCACCCTCAGGCTTTGCACCCCCAGGCTCCGCACTCTCAGGCTCAGCACCCCCTGGCTCCGCACCCGCAAGCTCAGCACCCCAAGACTCAGCACCCGTAGTAGCACCACCCCCAGCAGCACCAGAGTCTAAAGTGATCTCGATAGGCATAACCAAGGGGAGTGGGTCTACCTGAGACACACCTGAGGGAGCAGGACCCTAAGAGGAGAGGGGGTCTACCGGAGGGGGACCCGGGCAGGGCAGGGCTGCACGCGGTCAGCAGGGCGGCGTGACAGGCAGGGCAGGGCAGTGCGACTAGTGAGGCAGCACAACGGGCAGGGAACCATACGGTGGGCCCTAAAAAAAGGAAGAGGACATGCTCTGATACCATGTCAAGAAACTAAACGAGAATGAATGAACTAAGGTCAAAGTGGGTACAATTACTAACCTTTATTGGGTTGTACCCTTTATGGGCTACCCCACTACAGCCTACACAATATAAGCATCATAACATCTTCACAGACCTTACCCATATGTTGAAACCTCCACCCAATCGGCCGTTTGTGGGTACATCTGTCATGACCAACCCAGCTCGGGTTGTTTCCGGCTGATCCCTCAGGCTTGTGTCCACACTCATTGCCACCTTTTGGAACCAGAATTCACACTGGCTGATAGTGAAGGTTCACTTGTTTGCTCACACCCTCAAAGCCATTGTCGCTTGGGGCTCGACAAACACGTTTGAGGCGCTGCACAAGAGGTCCGTCAAGAGGCATGATTGCAACTCAAACTGGAGGGACGTGGACCGCGACATTTCCGTGAGATATGGGCGGATGGCAGTCATCAGGGCGCTGGCGCGCAGAGAGTGTAAAACATTATATATGTTGTTGTGCTTGTTTAGGCTACAATGGGTTAGCCTATAGGGGGTACACAATTCTAGGGTTAGGTATTTGTACTGTTTTCACTCTTAGTTCATTCATTCCTGATTGTTTATTCCAACATGGTATAGAGCAGCTCCTTCCCAGGACCGATTTTTTAGGGCCCACCACTACCTACCTACCTACTTACCTACCTGCACCCTAGGGCGCCTCGGTTTCACGGCCCTCTAAGGCCCCGTCGGCCCGCCCCTTAAGGCCCCGCGCTCGCCCCTAGAGGCCCCGAACGGCCCACGCGCTCGCCCCTAGTGGCCCCTTCCGGCCCCGCGATCGCCCCTAACGGCCCCGTCGGCCCCTCCCTTACCTCCCTAGAGGCCCCATCGGCCCCGGGCTAACCTCCCTAGAGGCCCCGAATGGCCCCGTCGGCCCCACGCTCACCTCCCTAGAGGCCCCTTACGCCCCCCCCGGCCCCACGCTCGCCCCTTTACGGCCCCGCGCTCCTCCCTAGAGGCCTCGAACGGCCCCGTCGGCCCTACGCTTACCTCCCTAGAGGCCCCACCGCCACAACCCGGGACCGAACCGAGCCGCGCGACCCGAGCCGAGCCGCGCGACCCAAGCCGGGCCGCGCGACCCGACCCGAACCGTGCCACCCCACCCGAGCCGCGCCGCCCTACCTGAACCGGGCCGCCCTACCTGCTTCCTCCTACTCCTACTACTGCTACTTCTACTGCTCCTATGGCTAGCCCACAGGTTCTAGTTTTCGATGCTGAGGGCCGCCCAGTGAAGTTTGACACCTGGCTAGATGACCTGCACCTCTATCTACAGCTCACAGCCAAGGACGACTTCTCACTGTACGACCACGCCCTAGGCCATGTCACTGTCCCTGCTGCTACTGCTGACAGCACTGCTCGCTCACAGTGGAAGACTCGTGATGCCCACGCTCGCTTCACTATTCGCAACTCCCTGCCGATAGACGAACGCGAGCACTTTGGCCAGCACAAGACTGCACAGGCACTGTACACAGCTGTCGTTCCTCGCTACTCCTTACCTGCCTCTGCCGCGCTAGGCCGTCTCTCCCTCCCCTACCTGTTTCCCGACCTGGCCTCGTTCCACACAGTTGCTGACCTCATCACGCACCTCCGTACTAGTGAGGCCCGCTTCCGTGCCGCCATGCCCGCTGAGTTCCTTGCCACGCACCCCCCCCCCACTCTAGCTCACTCTCTACCACCTAGTCACACGCCTCCCAGACACACTGCGTGCTGTCAGGGACCACTTCCTAGCTCGCTGCCCCACTGAGCTCACCATTGCCCTCCTCAAGAAGGAACTGCTTGCAGCTGAGACTAGCATAGTCGCTGTAGGTGCCTCTCGTGGCGACCCCCGTACCCCGTTCTTCGAGGGGTGTTCTCCTTCCCCCCTTCTTCCCTCTGTCCCCTCTGCTGCTGCTGTCGACCTCCTTGGTGCTGAGAAGGTCGGTACTGCGTCTGCTTTGAGCGAGCGCCGCAGCGGCAAGGGCAAAGGGGGCAAGGGTGGTGGCGGTGACGGCGGGGGAGGCGGTGGTGGGGGCGGTGGAGGCGGTGGGGGTGGTGGCGCGACTGGAGGGGCTAGTGGCAGCGGTGGGGGTGGTGGCGGCAGCGGCGGGGGAGGTGGCAGGGGCGGAGGCGGTGGTTGGGGTGGCGGTGGAAGAGGCAGCGGCAGGGGTTGGGGTAGTCGAGGAGGTGGCGGCGGCGGTGGTGGTCGTGGAGGCGCTGGCGGTGGCCAGGGCCAGCAGCACACTCCTTCGCCCCAGGAGGTCCGTGAGTGGTACTCTCTGCACGAGGGGGGGTGGCTTTAGCTGCACGTACGTCATTCGCACTGGTGACCGCACTGGTCAGCAGTGTGGACGACCGCACGCCACACAGCGCTGCTTCGCTCGTCTCGACGTCGCTTGGCGTGTTCAGTTCCCTCAGGCCACTGAGCTGCCCCGCTGGTTTGATCTCCTGAAGAAGGGGATTGATATCTATGCTCTAGACTTTGATGCTATTCTATCTGCTATGTATGTGATGTCTACTAGTGGAGAGGGTGTTGAGTACCTGTGTGTGCCGCCCGACCTGGGCATTAGGACTAGTGCGTCTGCCGCTCCAGGTACTCGCGTGTCGGCTACCCCAGGTGCTGGTGAGGCAGCTGCTCTAGGTGCTTGTGCGTCTGCCCCCCTTGGTACTGAGTCGACTGCAGCATTGCACACCTTCACACTAGACTCAGGTGCTTCTCGTTGCTTCTTTCGTGACCGCACTGCCCTTGAGCCGCTTGCTCGGCTAGTTGCTATCTCCCTTGCTGACCCCTCTGGGGGTCCGGTCATTGCAACCTCTTCCACTGTCCTTCCCTGTCCTGCGGTCCCGTCGGGCACACTGTCAGGTCTCCACCTCCTCTCGTTCTCTACGAACTTGGTGGCAGGATGTGCGCTCCAAGACGGGGGTGTTCACCAGTTCACCCCTGCCTACGAGCGTGTGACACACTGTACGTGTGCTCGTACGGGCCGTCACTTGGCTACCTTCACTCGACAGCCGGGGTCGGACCTGTACACACTGACTACTGAGTCCCCTCAGGTTGCTGCATCTGCGTCCGCGTCCGCGTCAGGTCAGATGTCGGCCCCCTGCTCGTGTCGCTCTCTGGCACACGAGACTGTCCTCTGGCACCACCGCCTTGGCCACCCGTCTGTGCAGCGGCTTCGTGCCATGCACTCCCGGTACCTTGTCTCTGGCCTTCCCAGGGTCCTTCCTCCCCTCCCTCCCTCACCTCCTCCTACCTGTCTCCCCTGTGTCGAGGGACGGCAGCGCGCCGCTCCTCACTCCTTCTCGTTTCCCCCGACGACTGCTCCCTTGCAGACGCTCCACATGGACGTGTGGGGCCCAGCCCGCGTCCGTGGTCAGGGTCAGGAGAGGTACTTCCTGATAGTTGTTGACGACTACTCGCGCTACACCTCGGTCTTCCCCTTGCGCACCAAGGGTGAGGTCCCTGATGTCTTGATCCCTTGGATCCGCAGAGCCCGTCTCCTGCTCAGCGAGCGTTTCCACTCGGAATTTCCTGTCCTGCGCTTGCACTCTGACAGAGGTGGTGAGTTCTCCTCCGACCTCTTGGCAGCCTACTGTGCTGAGCACGGCCTTGAGCAGTCGTTCACGCTTCCGGCCTCTCCACAGCAGAATGGGGTTGCGGAGCGCCGCATTGGCCTGGTCATGGAGGTCGCCCGTACCTCCTTGATCCATGCGGCTGCCCCCCACTTTCTGTGGCCGTTTGCGGTCCGGTACGCTGCGCGTTAGCTCAACCTCTGGCCCCGTGTCTCCTTGCCGAAGACCTCGCCCACACTGCTGTGCACGGGGGAGGTTGGCGATGCGTCGCGTTTCCGAGTCTGAGGATCTCGAGCTTTTGTCCGCGATACGTCTGCGGACAAGCTCTCCTCCCGTGCTGTTCCCTGCGACTTCCTCGGCTTTGTCCCGGACGCGTCTGGTTGGCAGTTTTACCACGCCACCTCGCGCCGAGTCTTGCCTTCCCAGGACGTCACTTTTGACGAGTCCGTCCCCTACTACCGCCTCTTCCCCTACCGCACTGCCCCGCTACCCCCCCCGCCTCTCTTCCTCGAGCCAGGTGGTGCTGTTGTAGACCCCCTCTCCCCTCAGGGTGCCGCTCCCTCAGGTATGTCTCAGGTAGATCTGGCTGAGCCTGTTGAGGTAGCTGTCGACTCTCGTCCTGCTGGGGGTGCCGGGACTGGGGGTGCTGAGCCTGGAGGTGCGGAGCCTAGGGGTGCGGAGCCTAGGGGTGCGGAGCTTGAGGGTGCAGAGCCTGGGGGTGCTGAGTGTGGGGGTGCTGAGCTTCGGGGTGCTGAGCCGCAGAGTCTAGAGTCTGGGGGTTCTCAATCTGGAGGTGCTGAGCCTGGGAGTCCTACACCTGGAGGAGCCCTCTCCTTGGAGCAGCTGCGTGAGTGGTACTTACAGTACTACAGCCTCAGGAAAGGTACCTCTGGAGCCAGGCGTGCTGCTGGGACTAGTGCCAGTGCTTCTCCTCCTAGTCGGGAGCTCCCCTCCCGTGAGCGGATCCGTGAGTGGTACGAGCGGCGCTGCACTCTTCGGAGTGGCGCGCGTCGTGTCGCGGACCCCGCTGCCGTGGGTGCTGCTCCTGGTGATGTGGACTTGGGCGTTGGAGCTGCTGCTAGTGCTGAGGACCCAGGTGTTGGAGCTGCTGCTTGTGCTGAGGATCCGGGCCTTGGAGCTGTTGCTGGTGCTGCGGACCCGGGCGTTGGAGCTGCTGCTGGTACTGAGGACCCAGGTGTTGGAGCCGCTGCTGTTGCTGAGGACCTGAGTGTTGGAGCTGCTGCTGGTGCTGCGGACTTGGGAGTTGGAGCTGCTGCTGGTGCTGAGGACCCGGGTTTTGGAGCTGCTGCTGGTGCTGAGGACCCGGGTGTTGGAGCTGCTGTTGGTGCTGCGGACCCGGGCGTTGGAGCTGCTGCTGGTGCTGAGGACCCCGGTGTTAGAGCTGCTGCTGGTGCTGCAGACCCTGGCACGGGTGTCTCTGCTGGTTCTGGTGTCGCTACACGGCCACGACCGTACTTTGTTCCGCTCCTTCAGCAGGTTATTGGTCCGCTCCCTCCTCCGTGTCCTCCTCCCTCCTTAGGGTGTCCTCTATCGCAGCTACCATCTGCCTCCTCTCTCCCTGGTCCTTCTCCTTACACTGGTCCGACTGGAGGTCTTACTGAGCGTCGTGAGCCTGAGTCTCGTCCTCTATCGCCTAAGCCTCGTTGTGCGTCACCTGTCCGTGCTGCTCTCACTGGTAGTCGTGTCCTGCGTTAGCGTCTTCCTACTGTCCGAGGCACTCACCGGATGGCACTTCGTCCGTCCACTGCTCCACAATGTGTTCCACTGCCGTCTCCACCTGCTTCCTCTCTTCCTGCTCTTGCTGACCCGGGGTCAGACTCCCTTCGTGCTGCCAGTCCTACTGTCACACGTCTCCTGGCTACTGTTGTCACTGACCCTTCCTTTGAGTCCGCTGCTGCGTCTGCCTTAGTTGCTGAGCTTGTCGACTTTGCTGCCACCTGTCGTCTAGACTACGCTACTTGCCTAGTTGCTGAGTCTGAGTCTGTCTGTCCTCCGTCCGTCGGGGGTGAGTGTGCTCTTGGCACTGACGTACTTGAGGACAGGCAGGAGCAGTTTGAGTGCTTTGCTGCCGCTTTGCCCATCTCATGTTCATGCTTGTTGCCCCTGAGGGAGACCCGGATGCACCACACATCCCGACCCCACGCTCTTACGCAGAGGCGATGGCCGGTCCCTACTCCTCTTAGTGGTAGTCGGCCATGGACACACAGATGGCTTCATGGAAGTCCACAAGCACCTACGTCGACGAGGTTCCCCCACCTGGGGCGAACATCGTCAGTGGCATGTGGATTTTCAGGGTGAAGCGGCCGCCGGGTTCTCCGCCTGTCTTCAAGGCGCGTTATGTTGCACGAGGCTTCAGTCAGCGAGAGGGAGTTGACTTCTTCCAGACCTTCTCCCCGACCCCAAAGATGACCACTCTTCGGGTTCTGCTGCACGTCGCCGCTCAGCGTGACTACGAGCTCCACTCTCTTGACTTCAGCACTACTTTCCTACAGAGCAGCCTGCACGAGGAGATCTGGCTGCGCCGTCCACCTGGCTTCACTGGGTCGTTCCCTCCTGGTACCCAGTGGAGCCTCCGACGGCCAGTCTACGGTCTCCGCAAGGTGCCACGTGAGTGGCACGACACACTGAGGACTACACTTGCGGCTCTTGGGTTCGCGCCTTCTACTGCTGACCCATCGCTGTTGCTACGCACCGACACCTCATTGCCGCCCTTCTACATCCTCGTGTACGTCGACGACTTGGTCTTTGCCACTGTTCACACTGTCCTACTCACCCACCTGAAGTTGGAGCTGCAGAAGAGACACACGTACACAGACCTGGGTAAACTCACAAGCTATCTTGGCTTGCGGATCATCCAGGACAGAGCATGCCGCATCATCACCTTGACTCAGTCACACATGGTGCAGCAGGTCCTTCAGTGCTTCAGCTTCACGTACTCCTCGCCTCAGCCCACTCCTCTGCCTACCAGTCACTCGCTCTCAGCTCTGCCTTCGGATGAGTCCGTAGAGCCGAGTGGCCCGTATCCAGAGCTTGTGGGTTGCCTCATGTATCTGATGACCTGCACTCGACCTGACCTTGCATACCCTCTTAGCATTCTTGCACGCTATGTCGCTCACGGCCGTCATCGGAAGGAGCACATGGATGCAGCTAAGAGGGTGTTGCGCTACTTGTGCAGTACGTCGGGCATGGGGCTAGTGCTTGGAGGGCGAGTCCAAGTTGTTCTCACTGGACACTCAGACGCTTCTTGGGCAGACGACCAGGCTACTCAGCGGTCGTCTCACGGTTACTCCTTCAATCTTGGCTCTGGTTCAGTTTCTTGGCGTTCTACTCGCTCTTCTTCTGTTCTCAGCTCCAGTTGTGAGGCTAAGATCTACGCCACAGCCATGGCGGCCCAGGAGCTACGGTGGCTCACCTACTTGCTGACTTTCCTTGGAGAGCAGCCTCGTTCTCCTCCAGTGCTGTACGTCGACAACAAGGCAGCACAGACTAGAGCACAGAACGAAGCACATTACTCTGCGCTACTTCCTTGCTCGAGAGCTGCAGCAGTGTGGTCAGCTTCGCGTGCGTTACGTGGCCTCTGAGGCCAACACTGCTGATGTGTTCACCAAGGCGCTTCAGCCTTGTGACCATCAGCGCTTTTTTACTCTTCTAGGCCTTGTGCCTACTGGACCTCACTTGCTTACTTCTTGAGTCTGTTTGTACTGTGATCTCTATATATATATACCTGCATGTTTACGCTGGCTAGGCTGTGATCATTGTACCTCTTGTTCTATTATAAACCTGCATGTGAACTGGTCTTGTGACCACTTGCTTGTGCTCGGAATTTGTGTGGTATCCTTGAGATCCACCCTGAGCTTGTTTTGATTTGCGTTGCCTTGACTGGTCTTCTGACCCCTAGTTCTCCCCCGCTTCGCCTATGGGGGTGTGTCAAACATTATACATGTTGTTGTGCTTTTTTAGGCTACAATGGGTTAGCCTATAGGGGGTACACAATTCTAGGGTTAGGTATTTGTACTGTTTTCACTCATAATTCATTCATTCCTGTTCGTTTATTCCAACAGAGAGAGAGGGGGCCGGACCTATGAGACGGCCATGCGCATCGTAAGTGTAATGTGCTCAACTATACGAGCTGCCTTGCGACCTCTAGCAAGGCTTGTTGAGATCGGCATGGTACTCGGTCATTAGAGTGTACATGCAGTGGAACCCTAAACATGTGCATTGGCTGACTACGATGGTGTGTGCTTATCCTATGGTTCTAGGACGTGGAGCAACACAACCTTGTTCTCACGAAGAAGAGGTCGCATGGTGCTGGGGTCCGACTTGGATCGTTGTGGAACGAATGCTTCCTGGCTTTGGGGGGTGACATCATGAGCAGAGTCTTGGTGATGATGAGGTCTGTGGGCATCATGTGAAATTAAATATATGTTAGTTCTGTGTAGGCTATAGTGGGGTAGCCCATATGGGGTACAACCCGAAGCTAGAGTTAGTACTTGTACCCACATTTCATTCAATGCAATCATTCCTGCTTACTATCTTGACATGGTATCAGAGCAGTAGGTCCGTAGGACCGTTTTTTTTTTCCGGGCCCACCATACCTAGCTTCCGACTGTGGTTACCGCATTACCCCACTACCTTGCATCGCGCTGCCATGCGCACGCCCTGCCTTGCCCCGCGTCGCACTACCTCGCGCACGCCATGCCCTGCACCAGCGCCCTGCCCTGCGCCAGCGCCCCGCTCTATGCCAGCGCCCTGCCCTTCGCCAGCGCCCTGCCCTGCGCCACCGCCCTGCCCTACGCCAGCGCCCTG